ATTGGCCTGGTTCTCGTTGGAGTTACCACATGTTGGTCTTGACGACACTTACATTCGTTCTTGCATTAATGACACTTTACGGAGGTCGGGACAACACCATGAGATCTAAAAATGCTATAGTTTTAGTGTGGAGGTAATGGTTTATGTAAACAGTTGGGGACTGTGAGTACACGTGGTGTAGTGGTAGATGGAAGTTGCAAGTTTAATTTTCATTCTACGTAAATTACAACTTTAAGCATGTTGCAGGTGACAGCTGGTGTACTTGAAGGCCAATGGAGAAGTGACAGAACCTTGAGCAAGACTTAACACCCAGCATGTTACTTCAGCCTCATCAGTTAAGTTAGTTATATATTATCTTAGCTATTATGGTCAGCCCATAAACCACTCAACACTGTGCTCCTACACTGGGCAGTGGAGGGTGTGTGTGTGGGACCTGGCTGACTGTGAATGTTGGAGGGCTCTGGAGGACTGTGTGTGTGTGTGTTGAGGACTGTGTGTGTGTGGGGGCTAACGTGTGTGTGCTGAGACTGTAAAGGAGGACTGACTGTGTGTGTGGGGTGGCAGGACTGTGTGTGTTTTGGAGGAGTGTGTGTGTGTTGGAGGACTGTGTGTGTGGGGGTTGGTGGGGGTGTGTGTGTGTTGGAGGACTGTGTGTGTGTGTTGGAGGACTGTGTGTGTGTGTTGGAGGACTGTGTGTGTGTGTTGGAGGACTGTGTGTGTGCGCGTTGGAGGAATGTGTGTGTGTTGGAGGGCTCGGTATTATTGCAGTTTCGGCCAGTACACGCCTGACTTTTAACCATCCCCAACCTTTAGATCTCCTTATTGGAGTATTTCTAACACCATTTTAACCAGGGAGCAAAGAATGTCAGAAAGGAGTTTTAAAGATTTCCATGCTTTTTTTTTGGGGGGGGGGATATAATTCTAAAGAGGGTGCTTTCCCCTGGAAATTAAGGCCACATTTCATTGAATCGACCCAAAATACACAGGATAAACGAATTTCTAAACTACGAGGGCATATTCGACGAAACTGCAATTTTACAATGGGCTCTGGAGAGCTGTTTGGACTGTCTAGATAAACTGAGCTGGGAGTCAAATTAAGATTAGCTGTAGAGATTTGGGAAAGCTTAATAAAGTGCTATAAAAATGTACAGGACTAAATGCCATTTAGTTACAGTATTAGTGAGCATTAGTACGTAGTAGTAATGTGATTAATAGTAAGTAAAGCTGGTTGTTAGTAGGTGGGTTTTAACTAACAAATTAACTAACCTAATCAGCCTAACAGATTAAATGTAACTAATCAAGACTAACCCAAATTAATATTAAGTTACCTATTATATAGTTTATATATTGGATAACAAATATATTAAAGAATGTAACTTAAAATTTGCCACAAGTTAACTGATCATGAATTCAGAAAGTTAAGCTAGAAAAAATTTCACTTGTTTAAATTATTAAAAATCAATAGCTTGTGTACTTTGCAGTTTCCTTTTCAAAATCTAATCGTGTACTGTACTGACTTTCTCCTCAGGTTAAGCTGGCCAGAAGTAACATCATACTGAACCTAAGGAGAAATAACTTAAAATGCCAGAACAGGTAAAGTCAACTTACTGAGTTTTATTTAGGCAAGGGAAGCTTGTGGGACTTGTGAAATCATTAAACATTGTGGGTGTGGCTTGTTGTAATTAGGGTGGGGGGGGACAATATGGCTTGTGTATTGGCATATGGGGTGAGCAGGTGTGTTGGTAAAGTTTTTCATTCAAGGTAAATGTGACCAAGTTGTCAAGGGGAATACCTAAGGGGGCTTGAGGGGTGGGAGGAAGGGAGGGAGGATTCAGTAAGTGAACAGTGGTAAACTGTTGTGTATGAAGCAGTGTGGAGAGATTTAGTAGTGTAGCAGTATTGGTGATGAAGGCTTATGATTGGCTATACTATTGTTGTGGTAAATGTTAGTTGTTGAGGTATCAAGAAAACTAAAACACTAATGCAACTTAAAATAAGATCTTTTGTAGATAAGGTATTTAAATAAACAATTGGGGACAGTATAAGTACATGTAGTCTGGTGGTAGATGGAAATTGTATGTTTAATCTTCATTGTACATAAATTACAACTTTAAACATGTTGCAGGTGACAGCTGACGTACGTGAATGCCAATGTAGAGGAAGTGACCGACACCTTGAGCAAGATGTAACACCCAGCATGTTACTTCAGCCTTCTTAGGTAAATTACTTATGTATCTTAGTATGGCCATCCCCTAAAACTACTGGAAGTAAGACTCGAGAGGAGGGACTTACTTTGTGTGAAGGGTTGGAAAGGAGGAGCATTGGGCGGTGGAGGGGCGCTCGTACAGTGCAGGGGCGCTCGTACAATGGGGGGGGGGCCGCCTCGTACAGTGGGGGTGGGTGCCTCGTACAGTGGGGGTGGGGGCCTCGTATAGTGGACGGGCGCTCGTACAGTGGGGGCGCTCATGCATGGATGGTGGTGTGCTCAAGCAATGGTGAATGGAGTGCATGTTAAAAATGTGATGCAAAAAATAGCATGTACTATGAAGGCATGTGGGGGATGATGCCTAGATGAAGACTGCTGCAGCCAAAAGTGAGAAGGACAATGCTCCTGGGTAAGGTGATATAGGAGGGTGTTTGAGTGTATGGATATATCACATATATATAAGAATGCAAGTTTAGATTCCAAGAAATTCTGGAGTAAATGTTGTGTATTGGTAGTAATACATTAAGGTTAATTAAGATTGATCTAAATCCAAATCATGTTGCAGGTGGTTGGTGTACAAGATAGATGGACCAGACACAACAAGGTGACCACGACTGTCTAGCATCCCACACCTTGAGGACTACCACCTTACTAAGAAAGAACAGAATTGGTGTTCTGTACACTACTGTAAGAATAGTGTACTGTAATGTAAAAGTTAAGTATTACTGAAACCTTTTTTATATAATTTAGCAAAACTTGATATATTACTTAAAATAGTGCATTTAAGAACATACAGTACAAGTTAACGTCAATATTGTGTATTGGTAGTGATATAAAATAGCTTAATTAATTCAGATGTAGAGTATCTAAAAACAAATATATTCATGTTGCAGGTGGTTGGTGTACAAGATAGATGGACCAGACACAACAAGGTGACCACTACTGTCTAGCATCCCACACCTTGAGGACTACCACCTTACTAAGAAAGAACAGAACTGGTGTTCTGTACACTACTGTTAAGAATAGTGTACTGTAATGTAAAAGTTAAGTATTACTGAAACCTTTTTTTATATAATTTAGCAAAACTTGATATATTACTTAAAATAGTGAATTTAAGAACATACAGTACAGTACAAGTAAACCTCAATATTGTGTATTGGTAGTGATATAAAATAGCTTAATTAATTCAGATGTAGAGTATCTAAAAACAAATATAATCATGTTGCAGGTGGTTGGTGTACAAGATAGATGCACCAGACACAACGTGACCACGACTGTCTAGCATCCCACACCTTGAGGACTACCACCTTACTAAGAAAGAACAGAATTGGTGTTCTGTACACTACTGTAAGAATAGTGTAATGTGAAAGTTAAGTATTACTGAAACCTTTTTTTCATATAATTTAGCAAAACTTGATATATTACTTAAAATAGTGCATTTAAGAACATACAGTACAAGTTAACCTCAATATTGTGTATTGGTTGTGATATAAAATAGCTTAATTAATTCAGATGTAGAGTATCTAAAAACAAATATAATCATGTTGCAGGTGGTTGGTGTACAAGATAGATGGACCAGACACAACAAGGTGACCACGACTGTCTAGCATCCCACACCTTGATGACTACCACCTTACTAAGAAAGAACAGAATTGGTGTTCTGTACACTACTGTAAGAATAGTGTACTGTGAAAGTTAAGTATTACGGAAATATTTTTGTTATAATTTAGCAAAACTTGAGAAAATACTTAAAGTACTGTACTAATGCATTCAAGACTGTAGGAGTGAACCTTGATTAAAGCCACACAAAGTATTAAAAATAGCAAGATACATTATGTACAGTATCATTATTAACTATCATGGTAGTCAGTTTTGTTGTGGTTGCAAAAAATTTCCATTTTATAATACTGTATATTTTTCGTCCACAGGTGAAGTATCAGCAAGGTGTACAACGAGATACACGGACATCAATCAAACGGATTGTGAGAGGTTTGAATATCTCGCATGGATCCATTTCTCTTAGTGGTTTGTAAAATTAAGTGTAATATGTAATTGTTGTTCAGTGTGAGAAGGCCTCTGGTGGCTTGTTGAGGGATGGCGTTTGTACCGGGGGAGGCGTTTGTACCAGGGGGAGGCGTTTGTACCGGGGGAGGCGTTTGTACCGGGGGAGGCGTTTGTACCGGGGGAGGCGTTTGTACCGGGGGAGGCGTTTGTACCGGGGGAGGCGTTTGTAGTGGTAGAGGCATTTGTAGTGGTAGAGGCACTTGCACTGGGAGGTGTTTGTAATGGTTTGTACTCCTACAATGTCTGTGTATAACAAAATAAATAAATAAATACATAAATATTGAATGAACTTTACGTTTCATATTCCGAAGTTGAATGATAATGATCTAAATAAACCACAGGTACAGTAGAACTGTAAACTATACCTGAAACATGAACTAAAGTGATCAACTTGGATACACCCACATGATGGCTTCTGGGTAACTTAGAACATGATATATACATTAATTACATATAATTATCACCAATTGACATCAAAGTGCCATTCATTGTACGTACAACTGTTACAAACTAATGCCCATGTGATGCCCTATTGGGTACATGTAATCAAAACTACTAGATACCCACAGATGGCACAAATAATGCATTTAAGTCAGACGCCTCGGACAAAGGATTTTGACAACCTTACCGAGAGAACGGACGTCTCGTGTTCATTTTGAAATTCATCGGCCATGACCGTAAGGAACATTTTTGATTGCATACATACTATTAATTTGAAAGTATTGTATATATACAGTAAATGAAAGTAAAGTACAGTAAGAATTTTACTTACTAAATGTTGACAATCTGGACACTGCACACCAATTGCTGAATGGAAGTGTTTTACCTGAAAATATAGAAGAAAAAATCTTGTAAAATTGTAATAAACAACTTATGAACCCCCCTCCCCCCACCCCGCCCCCTAAAGACTTGGTAACTTGGATAAATTTAGAAATATATCTGTACTGTGCCTGGCCAAAATTATTCACAAAGTACAAGACTTCCATTATTATCTAAAGCTAAATTTTGTGTAGGACCAAAACCTGACAAGATACTTTATAAAACCTTAAGGTCTAGTGAAATAAACTCACCTTATGTGGAGTCTGCAATATAAAGGTTGAATTGAGAAATCCACAACCGCTGGTAATGTGACGGCCTCACCATCACTGATGTATCTGCCGAGAAATAATAATGGTAGTGGTACTGTAATGTGATTTCTTGGGACACGGGAGAAAGATATCTAGTGATGTTGCCAATCATTACAAGTTTTCTCTGATTTTCTTCTGTGCTAATATTTGGTTATGTAGGTTTAAGAACATAAGACTGCAGGAATAGCCAGTAAATTGATATATACTGTACCTAGACAGTGCAGGTATAAAACCAGGCTATATGACCAAGGATATTTTGTATTTCTGTATCAGCTTCTGGACTGTTATTGTATATTGCAATAAATGTGTAGTGTATACATATGAAAATAAAAAATCTACTGTATATTCAATTCTTTATTTTGTATTACCTATCTACAAAGATATAAAAACATAGTACACAATGTACAGTACATATATAATTTTTTTCTCTGTTGCTGACAGAACACATTACCTTATTCAGAACAATTTATAATGTAAGTTTGTTAGGTGGCGATGGTAGATACAACACTGCAGTAGCCCTCCTCCTTTATCCGGGCTTGGGACCGGCATGTTCGACTGAACAAGGCGGAGTTACTACTGTGCATTCTACGTCTAACTACGGTGCTGTTAGTGCTATCAACTATAACTTGAAAAACTTTACCTTTATTACCTGCAAGAAGCACCTTGTAGTAGGTCCAGTCAGCCACACAAACAAACCTGGAATACAAAAAACTTTAAAACATAACATTCATAAATACTTGCATATAGACATTATATATTGTCATAAGTACTTTACCTGTTTGGAGGAGTTCTCGACCAGCCACACGTTCACTTCAGTCAGACGTTCACCTCGGAGGCGCACAATCTGAAAGAAATGAGAAAACCTTAGTCCCATCCACACACATTAAAGGTGGGAGGTTGGGTGTGTGAGAGAGGGTGAGTGTATGGATGGGAGTGAGGGTGTGTGTATGGGAGGACCTCCCCACACACACCCTCACTCCCATCCATACACTCACCCTCTCTCACACCTTTCCTTATACCCAACACTCCCTCCCAAACACCCCCACCCTCCCTCCCACCCAACCCTCCTCCTACACCACCTCCCCTCCAACCCAACTCACATACCTACCCATCCCAACTCCCTTCCCATCCACCCAACCTTTTGGGTGTGTGGATGGGAGGTAGTGTTTGTGGATGGGAGGATGTGGATGGGAGGAAGAGGATGTGCATGGGAGGAAGAGGGAGTGGTTAGGAGAAGAGTGTGTGGTTGGGAAGAAGGGTGTGGTGTGCCATGCCCTCCTCCATGCAAACACAGCATCGAAAAATATTCTGAAGAAAATTGGTTTGTATTGCTGTAATATTGTATTGTGAGGACTCATTTGTGTTTTACTATGAATGATAAGTGTGCAGGGATTATGGTGGTGTAAGAGAGAGAGAGCCTTATAATAGTTGTGAGGACATTTTGGACAAGGTAAGAGACTTGCTGTGTGTGTGTGGGTGTTGGTCTGCTGGCAGGAGCAACAGGTAGGCACGGCTTATAGCACTATTTGACCCTCAGTTATATATCATATAATTGTATGTGAGTAATTATTATTCAATATATTTATGAATGGTTTTACTGTATAAATTTGTTTCAATTTACTAATATTACCAATATAACTTAATTAACTAATAAATTATAAATATAATATAATATCTTGAAGGGTTCTAAAATAAAACAAAGTTCTTCTGGCCCCAGAATATACTACATATTATTTTATTGATAACTTTAAACTATTGTAACACAATCGACCAAGTAGAGATAGGAACACGTAAAATTAATGATAAGGAAGATAGAACATGATTAAATTATAAATCTATTTATTAAGAAAACCAACAGCTCAATGTTTAACAGTTATGATACAGTTTAGGTATAAGGTATAGACTAAAAAATGTTTATCTAACCGAACCCAATTATATGTCCATAAGAGAAGTGGAACATCTTGGAGTATCACAAGATAATTAAGGGAGATAATGATTAAGCATTTAACATTTAAGTTATTATGCAATGACTAGTGTAATAATGCCCACAGCCATCCTGTCCACAATCCCATTAAAATCATAGACAATCTCCGCAGCTAACGGTCAAATACCCTTTGGATATTTGCCCAGCCAGCACAGTCAAATAACACCTTCATAACTTGTACTGAGCCATTATTGGGTAGTGGTGGTGGAGTCACTTAGTACCAGAGTACTGTGTTTATATTTGATTCATATTATCCACAGTTGTTCTGTGGATGATGTAGTATTAATGGTAAAATTTCACTTGTTACCGCCAAGCATTTGGAAGTTGAAATTATGCTTGATGGATGTAAAATGTTATATAGATTTGATTCTATTGTTTGCAATTTTTTGGTACAAATTTATAAATTAAAAAGTTTTGATTTTATGGGAAAATTTGACATTTCCTACGAACATATAGGACAAGAGTGTACAGTGTATGTAATTAATTTGCATTACTATATAAGTATACTGTATTGATTGCACCAGTATAGAATATATAACCTAATCTAAACCATACTAGCCTAACAGATGGACTATGCCAAGATCTGATTGGTTAACAAACCAGCTACTAAAATGTAAAATATCTCACTTATACAGAACTTAATTTGTGACAAAAATGCCATAGAAGAAAAGTGTTTTAGAATGATCAAAACTACTGATTGCTACCATAAAATTATCAAAAATTTTTGGGTGGCAACAAATGACATAATATCATATTAACTAATAAAAATTAACAACTTTTTATTTTAATTATAAATACCAGTATTTTTTTTATCTCTTCTCTATGAACATAAATCACCTGTAATGGGCAGGACATGAAAGATGACGGAGAGTACGGGGTAAAACACGGTGAAGAACTGATCATGTGACACTAAAATGATGTCTCCACGCTCTTTGACACAGAGGAATTAACTATTTACTGTAAACAATCTACCAAAAAATATGACGTGGTAGCCTGTGTTGTTGTCCGCTCTTAAACCAATAAACACTGACTCCGGTAATACTGTACTTAACTTGTAAATAAATGACAGATCCTCACATTGGTGGTTTTATTACCATATATATAAAATTGATTGTCTTTTTTTCTTTTCGGCTTTACTATCCAGATTCATGAGTCTATTATCTCCACAAATCCCTTATTTATTTTTTTGTTTGGTTAAGTAGGATCTTAAACCTATTCTAAGCACATTATAAATTATGAGAATTATATTGTTGGAATCAAATCCCATAATATGAGTTTAAATACATTTCCAATTTCTTTTGAGTAGTATTGGTTAATGAGTGAAACTTATGTTCTTATATTTTATTTTCCCTCCCTAGTTATGACTTCTTGTTGGCGTTGCTGTTTATCAAATCGTAAATTATTTGCAAGACCCATTGACAGATTTATAGCCGAGTGGGGGGGCCTGTTCAACGGCCAAGAGGGCCAAGATTATTTATTAACGACTCTGCCATATATGACATTATTAGTTGTAATTTCTACAATGAAACCATTTGGAAATAAAACCAATTATTCCATAGAACACTAACTTTATTTATGACAACTAATGAGTCAGCTCACAACATTTTATGTATACAGTATATGAATTCATAAATTATTAAACTACACACACATATATGTAATGATAGTTTAAGTATATAACATAGACAGGAAAGAATTATATAAACTGAAGTACAGCAGTGAATAACTGAATGTAAATTAATTTTTCTCAAATAACCAAGACAATAATGAAAACTGATGATGTTTATGAAAAAATTGACAACAGAGAAATAATGAGAAAATATTCCTTCCATTAATAACGTCTATATACACAGTACTGTACTCATTATGTGATATTGATAATTAACTCAATCCCATTTAATTTTCCTGCTTTTTCCTCCTAGTTCAATTTCTGTGTAAGGTCTGCCCAAAATACAGTCAAGACCAGCTTACTTTTTCTACTTTGAGTCATTGAACGCCTATATTGTGTAAGCACGTGACAGTTGAGAAGGAGTGTTCACATGTTGCAGTGCGTGTACCAAATGTGAGGGCAGCCGCATAAAGCTTGTGTATGTGAGTTAATCCATTTCAGAAAGGATATATCTTGAAATTTTCACCAATGTTTTTGAGAACTGGGCAATAATATTCTTCAATAAGTCACTTAGCAACATGACATTCACTTACCAGAAGAGACGACTCAGTGTCGACACCTATGAGTTTAGCCAATGGGACAAGATTTTCTGGAAGTAATAAACAAGTCTTGTATTCTGGCCAACGACTAGAAATGACTGTAAGTAGTCTCATATTATGCTCACCAAACTCAGCATTGAGTTCACCAAGGCAGTTATCTAAAATATTGTAGTACAGTTGATGATGTAAATCAGCTTCACTATCAAAACCATGAACATTAGTATGTCTTACAGTTGTTTCAGTCACTGTTAAGTATTGGAGCAGTTTGTGTTTATGCCAACAGACCCAAAGGCAGTCCTGGTGGATCAAGTTTCCAATCTAGATCATTGGAACAATTCACTGGTAGGGGTACCCGCCCTATGGCAGTTCCCAGGAATATAAAAACATTTTCACTCTCCAAATTTTTTTCCAGCATATTGAGATAGAATATATTCAAAACTTATGAAAAGACTTTGTTGATAAAAGTCTTGTTTCCATATGAATTAAGACCGTCAGTTATTTACAAATGTGATCATGAGCACACAGCCAACACAGTCCCACCAATACTGGAGTCTCGGGTACAGCAGACAGTGTTTTAGAGAAGAAACAACAGCATATACTTATAGAAAACCTCTAAAAGTAGATGGTGCCTGTACTGTATTGATAGAGATAACACCAGAGAGAGAAATAAGGAAGGTTTACATCTGTATTCCTTTACTTTGCTGAAGACAAACTGGGTCATGATAAAAAAGGAAGTGGCTACTTAACCAGGAGTTCCTGGCTGGTCACACTGGAGGTTATGTGAGAGGATTATGCCTCCCAGTCACTGCTGACTTCTTAGAAGTGCCACACAGTCCTCAGCCTCCCTCACCTTCGGTGACTGGGGACAGGCTAAACAATTTAGCAACGTTTAATGTCATCGATGACGGCCCCGTTAAGGTGTGGGGAGCTATTTCCCACGCCAAAGTATAACATATGAACAAGAATGATATTAAAGAACTCATAGAAGAAGAAATAGACGCGCAGAGAGAAATTAAGAGACCCGACGAAAAATCCACCTCGGCTCTAGTTGGATTTTTCCACAAACTTCCAGAGACGATCACACTGGGATGGGAGACCGTCTGAGTGAGATCTTACGTGCTATGACAGACCAGATGCTTCAAGTGTCAGCGGTACAGTCACCCACACAAAAAATGCAAGGCTCCAGAAGATGTGTGCTACAGATGTGTGTCTTATGGACACAGCATGATGACTGAAAGATCAAGAACAAGAAATGCACTGCCTGTGGTGGTCCTCACTAATTCTCTGACCAGGGGGGGTCCCAAATGGAGGGAAGAGTGAAGGTGAAGCACACCAAGAACCTCTCCTACAAGGATGTACTCCTCTTGTGAGGGAAATTAGGCAACAAAGACCACCCAGAACCTGAAAACCTTCAAGAACAAGAAGGAACAGACCAAGGAGAACCATAAGATAACTCAGAGCAAGAAACACAAGATGTAGTAGAAAATAAAAAAACAAGAAGAACATCAAGAAAATGAGGAAGAAAAAGGATGGAAAGACATAAAAAAGAAGAGAAACAAATGAAAGAGGCTACAGTAAACCAGACAACATTACCATCAGCCAGTACAGCTCCTCCCCGACTTACGACGGGGTTAGGGACCCAAATCCAGGTCGTAAGTCGAAATGGTCTTAAGTAAAAAATGCTTAAATAATACATAGAAAATCTAAAATGGGTGTCTCTTTTTCTTCTCAGCACCACAAAACTCTCATTTTTAAGCTTGCCAGC